GCATACAGTTTATTTTTGTTACTAAATTAATTAATTTGTTTGTTTTTTATTCTAAAGTAATTGTACAGAATAACATAATACTCTAATTAGGTCATTACATACTTAACACTAGTCATACATAAAATGACTAAGGAATTAAATATCCTTGTCCTTTTAATTTCTAATTATGTATTGACCTTCTCAAGCTGGGGTTATTACTTCATTCTGTAATTGAATAAATTTTACTAGCACAATGGATTATTAAGGCAATGTATACATTTTTATAATTGAGAATGTAGCAATATCTAATGAAAGTGGTATCTTTAGAGCAAAAGAAAGTCCACATTTAAATTGTATTTATGTATTCAAAGTACACCATTAGGCTATTTGATTAACTCAGAGTTTTTGTTAAGATTATGTTGGATACAAATCTTATTAAATTTTGAAGTCTTGCACACCTTCATATAACTTAGTCTCAATTTTCACTTTACTACTGCAAGTCGAGCCATTGTTTTTGTCCATACTAGCTAACAAGAAATCATGAGTTTTTTGTTCTACTTCTTTCCTTTGACAGGTGAGGAGCTACATTTTGATTGCTAAGGAAGGAGATAAAAAATAGTTTTGTACTGTAAAAATCTTACTGACTGCTTTTTTTATAAGCTGAGGTGGGGCAATGATTTTATAGCTATGAAAGAAGAGATTTGTAATTCTGTACTGTAACAAATTTACAGATTATTTTTGATAATTTAAGGGGTTACATTTTGATGGGTAAGGAAGGAGAAAAATTACAGTTTTGTACTGAAACAATCTTACAGACTGCTTTTTAATAATCTTGCATAAAACCAACAGCTACAACATACCCTACACAAAACCATAAACAGCTACATCACACCCTAAACAAAACCATAAACAGCTACAGCACACCCTACACAAATACATAAACAGCTACAACACACCATACACAAAACCATAAACAGCTACATCACACCCTACACAAAACCATAAACAGCTACATCACACCCTACACAAAACCATAAACAGCTACATCACACCCTACATAAAACCATAAACAGCTACATTACACACTACACAAAACTATAAACAGCTACAGCACACCCTACACAAAACCATAAACAGCTACAGCACACCCTACACAAAACCATAAACAGCTACAACACACCCTACACAAAACCATAAACAGCCACATCACACCCTACACAAAACCATAAACAGCTACAATGCATCTGGTACAAAACCATACATAATTACAATACAGCATATACTGCATCATGAAATAAATTCATTTATATTTTATTGGTGTAACTGGCATTTTTACTTACCTGGAGAATTCTCATCAGAAAATATATCAGAATAATAAGAACTGCTTTTTGAGAAATGTTTCCACAACTTCTGTCCATCCTTTCAGTTTTGTATGATTAACAAATGTCTGTAAAATTTGGATAAAAATATATAGATATTTTTAAAATACATTAATAAAAATACAAGGTAGAATACACTATTGGAAATAATTATGAATTTGCTCCCCTTTTTATTATATGAAAATATAACTACACCAGAGTAGTTATCCAACAAATCAACAATACATCAGCTATAAAAGTAAAAGTGGTCATACTATTCCCAGCAGTAGGTGAGGAATGCACTCATGGTTCCAAGGAAAGAAAGACCATATACAAATGTGTCTGAGCTAGTGAAAGCTACTCCAGCTTGAGGAAAGGTTTAATGTTTCAGGAGATGTATGGAAATGTAGAAGAGGGTATGTGAAACATTGGTAATAAAAGTGGATGAGGCACAAAGGCCAAACTCTTCAAAAGTGATTCCAATATCTCAGGTTGTGCTCTGTAAGTACACATTACAATCCAGTAGAAGTCTTGGTAATGACCAAGCTGTAAAAACAGGTGTGAATATTACATCCAAAACATGAAAATACACATGAGAACAGAGTGGACACAATGAATGAGCAGCTGCTCAAAATCTACTAGTTAGGAAAGATAACCAAATCAAAAGACTGAAACAGACACCAGACTTCAACCAATAGAATGAGCAGAGCAGAAGGGTACTCTTTACAAACACTCAAATTGTTTGTTCAGTGGCAGAGAGGAGAATGGTTCACCATACAACATCTACAGTAAAGCATGCTGGGGAACCAATATGAATGTATGCTGCATCTCAGTCAGTGATGTTGGAAGTCTACACAAAAGTGATTCAGTCCTTAAAACTAGGACATAAACTGTACAGAATACAAAAGAAAATACCACTTAAATCAGAAAAACAACCTGGCAAATGCCATGATACATTCTGAAAACATATTTTCATGAAAACACACACTCAAAAGACGAGTAAAGTACAAAGCAAGTATCCTCACAAAGGTAAAAAATGAAATATTTACATTAGGTTTTTGTACTGATTAAATATTTTTGGCAAAATCTTAATATTAAAAGGAGCTTTCCAAGTTAAACTTCGAGAATCAGATTTGTGCCGTTCCACAATATTGAACTTTAAAAGAAAGATAAAACCAAAATGAAACTTTTTTGTTTAGTACTAGTGAAATAAAGTGAAATAGTCCTAACCAATTTATTTTCAAGCATTGATATTCTTCAAATAAAGTAAAACTGAACTCTTCTTTTCAATTTGCTCTCTATAAAGTAGTAGGTAAAATAAGTCAAACTATTTTAAAGTACTAAACTTCACTGTACTCTCCGATAATACAACATGCAATAATCCAAAACTTGTTCACACTACTCATACTTTGAAAGACTTCATGTTGGTTCTGATTTTAAACATAATTTGGTTAAAACAAATTTTTTATTAATTAAACTAATAAACTGCAAAAATTACTAGCCAAAAAATTAGGATTTTTTCTTATGATAGCAATTTTTTACCATCATACTTGACATTTTTTATAAAATGCCAGATTTTTTCTTTCTGGTCATTTTGCAATGTGCTGTAATTTAAAGGGTTGTAATGATTTTTGAAAGATACAGGTGGATAGATTGTTATCCATAATATTCCCTCAGGTTTCTTTCTTCCAGCAAGACAGTGATCCCAAACATGCAAAAAATAATTTGTAACTTTACTGTAAAGCAAATATTTAGTTCACATTTATAAATTATTTTACTGAAATTTAATTACTACTAATATATTTTACACAAAATCTTTAAAATTCACAATTTCAAAACATCAGACTCATAATTGTACAAGTGACAAAATCAAACTCCACACTTCTGATACATCAATATAACCTTGAAAAAAGAAGTCAGGAAAAAAAAATCCTAACTTTTAATATTAATATAAAATCTGCTTAATAATAAAAACACATATGAACTTCTGGATTAATTATAACTCACAACAGTTTTAAGCTCTAACTAACTTTCAAAGAATATCCACTTTAAAACTCTATATTCTTTATCATCTGCCTTATGCAGTCTCCAGTTATTTTTTGCATGTTTACTTTTATTTGCTACGTGTGGGGCAATTATTGGCTACGACAAAACAATTCATCACCTTATTTACACAGAGAATGGTAAGGGGACCCAAATATAAATTTTGACAGAGTAGAAGTCAGTGTCAGCTAAGCCAGTTTTATTTTCTAACACGATGGTTGGCTTCTGGAATGGGTTTCCTTCAGATGTGGTTGATGTAGTAAATTTAAGGGAAAGTTTGATAAATATTTAAATGCAGGGACTGGCTATGAGTGTTTTATTTTAAAGATTAGTTTAGTGGATGGAACAGCCCAGATGAGCCAACAGTTAAATATATATGTCATTGTGATTTACTTAATATGTAACAAACTCATCTACAAAACTACAGCTACTATGACAAAGACCCCGGTACCAACTAGTGTCAGAATAATGTTACAATTAACTCTAATGAGGTGCGAGTTGTCAAGAGACAGGTTAAATAAAAAGGAGAAAAGCTAAATAAAATATAACATAGTAATAATAATTAACAAAAGCTGAAGGAATACCACCATACAATAGTATGTTTAGTACATTATTTTTCTTTTTAATATGCTTTGTTATACTTTAATTAGAGTATAAATATTCTTGCTATTTAATGTACGATTCTATTAATAACTTATTAGGTATTTACTATCTACTGTTCTGCTACTTGACTATAGTTAAACATAAGAATTATAGTAATTTTTCTCAGATATCAGGCTACTCTAAATGTATGCTGTTAGAGCCACTGAATTGGCTCTTATTGGTAACAAGACATTGTTAGGGATGGTGATATTAAGTTCTGTATATAGCAATGTCAAGTTCTTCAAGACACATTAAATCTATGATAGTGCATGAAGAAAACCACTAGTATTTGTTTTCTGTAATCAACTTATACTCTATTCTTCCTTTAATGTAATTCAAATTAACAGTATACTATATTCATTCTTTAACATTACTTATACTAACATTATTAGTTAATGTTTAAAATAACTTTTTATAATTTTATTATTACTATACGTTTATAATAAAGATTACTGTGCATTTTAAACTTATAGATTTAGAGCTAACCTAAATCTTCTATGCTGGCCAAACACCGAGATATTATTGGGTTTATGGCCAAAAATGTTGCTAAGAGTGAGGATATCCAAATGATAACACAATACAATTTAATCTTTATAAGTAAGAATGTATAGACAGTATATTTAATTACCTCTGATTAGAAGTTAATTTTAGTTACAGGGTCAGAGTACTAATGGTTTGCATCTGACTGCTTCCTGTAATTCCAGTTACTACTATAGTAACATGCTCTCTTATAGGCATTATTTATACACATGCTTAATGGATTTAGCATGTATTTCATCTTTTAATATTTCTATGCCCATCTTATCTACAAGACCAGAAATTATGATAAATATGAAATTATTTATAATTTGGCACTGTAATCAGTATACACTGTAAGAAGGCACTAGAGTAATTGTTATTAGGGGAAGGATCCAGATGCATAGTGTACATGCATTAGACTCTGATGTAGTCCTCAGAGTTTAACTGTTACCATTAGACTGGTTTGATGCTAGTAAGCAATTATGACTATTCATTGTCTAAAAGATCTGATAATTAAAGACATATTTTGTTGAAAATCTTTAAGCATTTTGGGAAATATGGAAGAGATGTGTCAGTGGTTTTGCGAGTTAACAAATTACATTAAAATTAAAATCCACAAAAGCTTGAAGTACACCTGCAGAGCAGGTTGTTTATTTTATATACAATGTAATATTTAAAAATATGACCAGAAAAAAAGAAAGAAAACATTTCAAAATAGATTCCTTGTTATTTGGATAAATGAAGAATTTGATCCTGAACAAAAATTTCATTCAGATGTTTCCGTGAGCCAAAGTGATTGTGACATTATAAAGTTGTGTAAACTTTACTTACAGTAAAGTAAGTAAATGAAGAAGATGCAACAGGTTCCAAGGGTTATAAACCAAGACACATTACTTAAGATAAGGGTTTGTCACATGTCCTGCATGGCTAGTACAGAGCTATTAAAACTCGTATATCAGGGCCTATTCTTACACTTGCACACACTAGTAAAAAAAATCTCATGTTTTGGTCAAATTACTAGCTTTCTATACTGCATTTTGGTTGGTTGACCAACTGGATTCAAGTCAAATTCAGCATCATACTGATCTAAAAAATGTATAAGATTGCACCAATTTGTTTAATTGAATAGCACAAAATTTTCTGTAGGAATATGCTCCATATCTCCCTGGGATGTGGCAGTATTTGGTACTCCAAGCACTTTAGCACGTTAAAATTTTTCTTTTTAAAAAGTCGCACTCAAAGATATTTCTAAAAGTTGTCAGCCCTGCTACTATAACTGTTGAACTAACCATGGGCTGACAGTTTTAAGAAGTTAACTTATAAGTGTTTTCAAAGCAGCGTACAATTACAAATTACATGTGGAAGCAAGAGTGGATTGGGGGAGGGTGTGGCTATTGGATAGGCCCTAGCCTCTTGGGAGGGGAGTTCAAGACTTAAACGAAATTAAGTTACAATTGTATGCACAGCTTAAAACTCATAACTTTATATTAAAGTAACTAAATATTATATTTTCAATTGATATTAATAGTCTGGCAGGCCAGTTTTGGGTTAAAACTGTTGGATTAACCCAGTGACTGCACCAACCACTGATATGGCCAGTCTACCCCTAGGTGGAAGATTTCTTACTGATATTGAAGAAATGCATCAAAAGTATTTTAAAAGAAAAGGTTATAAAGTGGTTTAGTTTTCATATATATTTCAAAATCAAGTTCAAATCATATTGCATCACTGTTGGCCTGTATATATATTTGTCAATATAAACATACCACTCATCCCAGTAATGGCAACTGGTACACAGACTGGAGTAATTAATTTCAAAATATAATTACCACTTGTTTTCCTACATAAAAACACACGTACCCTAGTACATAAGGATAAAGATTTAAAACAACGTAATTCGTTTAAAGTAAAATTGTCAATGTCAGAGTACATTTTTTTTTTTTTATAAAGGGAACAAATCAGTACAACAAGAAGTCAGTTAAAATTAACAATACTCCGTACTACTTGTACGGCTAACGCATACACAATTTCCAAGCGCAAGACAAGTTATCGTAGCAACGAGATGCGAGCCTGGAACTCTTAGGTTCACAGTCCAGTGGCAGCACGCTGACCACTCGGCCGGAAATATAAACTGTTGTGAAACGGTAAAATGACCGAAAACTTAAATTTACAACTTTCAAAATTCAAGCTACAGTTACAATACTCAGTAGTTAGGGGTAGATTCCAGTCTCCGCATTATTAGTTATTTTCTGAACATTTAAAACTGGTAAAAATATATATAATCACTGTCTCACTGAAATATGTTCAGATTTCTTTGCCCTCGATACTTCTCAACTTCCGTACTAATTCTGAGTTATTCTTCATTATGTCATCTTCATTAAGTTAAAACTCACCTGATCTTCAATACTGGGGTGACACCTTTAAAACAAAACCAAAACACCATAATATTATTAAAATATTAATTGGAAAAGTTTTTATTTTTACTTGATTTACGTAATGCTAACTAGAGTACCGTAAACGTAATTATGAATAAATGAAATAACAGTAAACCCCAGAGAGTTTTACCTATTTATTTATTACTCATCATTTCGGCTGTACGCCTTCATCAGGAGCATAAGATATGTGTAATAAACTCTAATGATGGCATACAGTTGAACATTGTATAAATAAAATATAGAAAAGTTTGAATAATTATTTGAAGTTCACCATAGTTTTTTAAAAATTCATAATTAGGTGCATGGTTTCTGAACACAGATACTTTACGACGAAGAAATTACTGCTTGCAATTGTAGCCTTTAAAAGCGGTAAGTCTTTGGACTTACTTTGCTAAAAATCGGGTTTCGATACCCCTGGTGAGCACAGAACAAATAGCTCAATAACAAACAAACAAATAGTCCTTGTAAAACACTATTGCTACTATATAGAGAATTGCATCATTCCTAAGTAAATAACTAAAATACGTTACTACCTTAGCGATAATTCAACCAAAACCAAATACGTACAACGTAGAGGAGTAAGAACAAAAATACTGTGCATATTAAAGAATGTGCAGAGTATTTTTGTTATTACTCCTCTACTTTCAATGTATTTTAACTACTGTTACTACTTTTAATGTAGGAGATCCACCATTTGGGTAGACTATGCTTTGTTGAAATGGTTAATGAACTTAGATAACAATACTGCTAGAATATGACTTTGTCATAATGCATCACCAAAGCCCAAAACATGGAAATGCAGATGAACTCTTTCGCTACATAGTAAGACTGTGTTTGTTCATGGAATGTCCAGATCCTGAAAATCATGTGAGAGTTGATACCATTTTTGTTGTAGCAACGTTAAGACATACACTAGAGGATGAATGCCACGGTTAACAATTCGGAGCTTACGGAAGAGCAACTCGTGCTTTTCAAAATACATTACAGCTAGTAGTTCCTAGCACTCTAAGGCAAGAGATTCTCCAAACTTTGCACAATGCACCAATTGTTTTTTTTTTGTATTCGTACCAAGGTGTTTGGTGCTTGTGTGAATAATGTACGGTGTATGCCAGTCACAGAATAAACAGATGAGACAAGATAATCTACAGTATACAAGTGTTGGATCTTCTTTATAGAGGATTACTCTTGATAATGTTGGTTCCCTCTTGAAGATGGAAAGAGGTCATTGGTACATAATTGTCACTAACGTTTATTTCATAAAGTGAACCAAGACTTATCCACTAATCGATGCATTGGCACAATCGTGTTGGCAAAGCACTAGAGAAAAAGTTGTGAAGCACCATAATAGATCTCCATGGGTCGTGAAACTAATTTTAGCAATTGTTCTGTTACGACAGCGGAAGTCACGTGACGCTGATAACACGTGATGAGTTTCTAGAAAGATCATGAAGGCTCGAGTGTTTGTAGAAACAGATAATTGAGTCAAGCCGTAAGTATAGTGTGTAAATCGCTGTAAATTATAGCTAAGTTAAAGTGACTGTGAAAATTAAGTGTATTACAAAGTTTGTAACGAGAAAGAATAAACTAGTTTTAATTAAGAAAGGACTTGTATCGCTGTAGTTTCTCGGAAAGAATTTTTGCGGGAAATTAACAAACGACCAGAGACGTAACAGTTCTATAACTTGTGTAAAGTGTAAGGCTTGTTGAAGATGCGTACTTTGCTCTATCACGCCTAGTCTAAATATTTAAAATAATTGATAATACAAATTAATAAACACTTGTTTGCCAAGTTTATTAATCTTGGCCAAACCCACTGGGATGAATAACAGTCATATGTTATGATGCTTTACAGAATAGCTTAACAAAGATCTATATGCTGTTTTCCAAACACACTCCTGTTTGGGCAAATATTTTTATTTCTTATTGATGTATGGTTCTCCTACTGAAGCAGACATCCCAGAATATCTGGAGGAATATGCAGAGTGGTTAAGTTCTGTATTAGTTGATGCACACGAGTTTACCCAACAACAACTAGGAAAGTCTGCTAAACACCAAAAGAATGTTACGATAAGATAGTAAATTAACTGATGTACCAGTGTGGAGATTGGGTCTGGTTATGGTATGTGCTAGCAGTATGGAAGCAGCTCAGATCAATCTGAACAGATACATACCTCATACTCTGGTGAACTGGTTCATTGCTATACGAGTTACAGTTGACATGAAGCACATAAAATCATGCAACTTTATCTGTATGACCAGCAAGTCAGAGGAGGACAAGAACGACATCTCAAGTAATGTTAACCCACACAATGAAGAGAAAAGAGCTGAAAGTAATTATTTGGTTGTCCACGATAAAAATGGCTTAACAACTCTCAAGCTATCAAGCAGAGATTCACTAAAGGAGATATCCACTAGAAATTGGATGATTGCTGCTTGATTATCACAAGATAGGATGGTCATGTGGTCAAAAATAAATGACTAAAACCCGTTGTGACTATTGCTTTCAAAACCATCAAGTGAGATTTTCTTATGTTAAACATTGCTTGACGTTTTGAGAAAATCAGTCATCTCATCTAGCTGAGTGCCAGGAACTCTGTGAAGCATGTCATCTAGTCCTTGCTAGTCTTTTCCCTGTATACTTAGAGAATGTATGGTGATTCTACATGTAGTGAGGGAGTTGCATTTCCACTGAGTGTGAGTTGATGTACTGTAGTAACAGCACGAGTAATGATCCTGGTTGACAAGAATTTTAACTGAAAAGTATAAGTTCAACTGAACTTTACTTGTGATTATTTATTTCGTGATGTCTAAAAATAAAAACGAATTGTATTTGATGGCTCCTAGATAACAGCACTTTATAAGAACTGCAACTAATGAAATGTAGCTTCACAAAATAACCCAAGAAGTTTATTATCAGAGTAATTTGTTCTGGAGCTGGAGATGGTTTGTTATAAGTTACTAGAGTATGTTACAATGTGTAATGGTGATATATGGCAATATACGTGTATAGATAAATATATGTGTGTGATCTGGCGAAAGTGCATGAGCATTACATATTCATTCATGAATGTTGAATGATACATATGGATCAATTACACAAAGAACATAACAGTAAGAAACAATAGTATGGAAACAAAGTATTTGATTTGGATCTTAAGACTATGTGATATTAAGTAAAATGCGATTACTCTTCTGGAAGGTAAAATTTAAAGATACAATCCAGTTGTTAGTTCCATTAATATTGGTGAGAGTGTGTTACAATTTCGACATCGAAATATTCGGCAGATAGTGAATTTTATGGAAGGATAAATATAACATGAACTCATGCTATGTCTGAGAAACATCTACGAGTGGGTGAAATTATCAGTAGTAAATAAAATGTTTAGCTAGCATATGGAATTTAAAGTTGATGTACTCAGTATTTTATTTTGTTGTGATAGAATATATTCAGTGATTGAGAATGAAATATTTTAATAGGTACAAGTCTTACTGAATATTTTGTAACCTATTTTTTCAGTACAGGTGCAGTCATAATGCGTGAAAATGTAGACAGTGAGTGTACTAGAGGGGAGTGGAAAGTAGGTTTGTAAGTCACAAACCAAAACGAGTTCTAAAATATAACTCAAGGAACGTCCATATGGAGAGACAATATGAACACTTGTGAATTATAATGGAGAAAAGTAAGGATTAGCATTGCCTAACCCAAATTAACTCGTGTGTGTAGGAAGCAATTTTGCAGTCTCGATCCGGATTCCATCCTACTAGAACTGGGTGCCCCCTATCTTCTGCAATCATGAGTGTGGGTGAAAGACAGGGCCTTATGTTTCGGTATTTATGTGTATATGTCTTGAAGTTGTTATACAGTAATGGTACTCTCACGCATGCGAGTGTATATAAGAGCAGTCAGTTAACGTAACTGCATTCCTTTTTTAATTTTGCTTCTAATGACATGCCCTTGTTCTTTCATGCCTGCCAGTGTGTGTGAAAGAGTAGAGACTTAAAAGTTTTTTTTTTTTGTATATATATATTTCTTTTAATGTGGGTTTAACACACCATTACCAATTCCAACATGTGCAAGAAACGATTTGTTTACTTATGGTATGTTTGCATTTCATTTTTATTGTTGGGCAAGGGGTGTTTTATTTTTATGTATTTTCAGAATGGTGTCAATGTTAAAGGCATGGTGTATTGTATTCTTTATTAAAGAGGGTAATTGTATGTCTTTGTTAAAGGGTATTTTATTGTATTTCTGCTTTGTTTTGTAAATTGTGTACTTGTATTATAGTGTTGTGGAACAAATGATTTCTTGAGCGACACATTAATGAAGCTTTTTTTTTGGTTTTGGAATTAGGGATGGCTGGGTCTGCCTGGAGGGAAAGATGGAGTAAGATGTCTGATATACTATTAGTTCCCCCTTTAGTTAATGTGTAATTTTTAAATTATTTTGTTTTTCATCATTCTCAGTTTGGATGCACTGAGGCACTTAAGTAAGTCGCTCAGCTTTCCGTTTTGCTAGCCACGTGTATTCGCTAGTTGGTTGTTATCTAGTAGATAGTAACCTTGTGGGATAGACACAGAGCTGTGTGAAGTCTGACTTTGATGTTAGTTTATATATATAGCCAGGTTTGCACATGGAAGAAGACTATATTTGGAGATTTTATGAAAGGTTAGAAAGATTTAGTTTTATGAAGCTTAATTTAATTTTTTTTCATTTTATTCTTCACCATTAGTGACAGTAAACCTTAACTTTCAAGGAAATTTGAATTTTTAAACTACGAAGTTAGGCATTTGGATTTTCTTTTTACTTAACTTTCAAGGATGTTTTCGTTCCATTTCTTATCATTACTCACAATAATTTTCTTTTAGTTTTCAGCTCTTTCATATACTTCAAAATGTATGGATTTTATTTTGTTTCGAATGAGAATTTTGTATCTGATAAATAATGCAACATTTTCAGGTGGATAATTTTAAAATTTACAGGTTTCATGCAGTTTCTAATCAGAATTTTATATCTGAAACTGTAATACTTTGCATTATTAGATGAAAAATTTTAAAGTTCACAGACCCATATACTTTCAAATAAGGATCCTGTATCTGATACTTAGATTTTAAGATAGAAGACATGATATGTGGGCTTGTTATGCATTTTCTAGTCTCTTAACTGTTAGGTAGTTTTCCAATATTCAGTGTTTCAGGGATCATTTTTTGCATAGAACATCAGTCAAGGAAACTACAAGTTTTTCTCATGTTGGTTTTAGACAAAACTGCAGGAGTAACCAAGTTCATCACATGTTTTCCTTTAGAGGAGATCAATATAGCATAAGTGGTGCAAAGATGAGAAGCAGTGATCTGTTCTAGCAGTCAATGATATGATTATCTAGGGGTATAACCCATCCCTCGTCCACAGGAAGTAGTCCTTAGTTATATGGATGGAAACTGTACCTGGAGAGAGAGAGAACTTTGTATATAAAGTAATGCTTTTCCTTTATTTGAAGAAAGACTTAATGAGATTCCATAGAGATTT